TCATCTTCTTCCATTAAGTAGCGCATGTAATCTACAACATTCTGGCCCATGATGTGCTTCCGGTGTACTTCTGCATTAAATTCCTTGCTTTCAGAATCATAACCAGGGAATTGCTTGGTACTATGAGGGATAGACAAGCCTCCATCCATAGCTCCCTTCAAGGCACCAAAAACTTTATTGCCAGTGGTAGCTCTGGCAAGGCTTGCATCCAAAAAGCAGGTAAAGGCACCTGGCTGATCATCAATGCTTTCCACATTGTATTCATCACCAGTCACCTCCACTTGGCCTTCATAGATCTTGTCCATGCCAAACCTGTTAAAAAACCTGCGGGCCAGCAGCAGGCCAGTACAATACGCTGCAGCGTAATTTGTCAGGCCAACCTTCACACCATATTTTGGCAGTTCGTGTGCATATGCTGCGCAGACTATCATATCCCCCTCTATACGGGCATAAGCAATCTGACAGATGATATCTCTGTTTGTTACACGAACTATCATCCTGTACTTGGGTGTGTTGTATTTATTTTTATCCTGTATCACCAAGCATTTCCGAGCATAGTAATCAGTTTTGCCCTCTCGTCGTCTTCTAAATTTCACTTGGTATCTCTTAAAGTAGGCCTTATTCTTAACAACTTTAACAAACCCCATCCTGCGGAACAGAGACCCATGTCCGCGGCTCAACAGAGACATCAAGTTTTCTTTTTTTAATTTTTATTTTTAATTATTTTCCATTTAATTTTTATTTTAGATTCAAGGGGTACAGGTACAGGTTTTTTAAATGAGTATATTGTATGATGCTGAGGTTTGGGCTTCCACTGATTCTGTCACCAAGACAGTGACCATAGTAACCAATAGAAAGTTTTACAGACCTTGTGCCCCTACCTCTCCACCTCCTTTTGAAATCCCTTGTGTCTGTTGTTCTTCTCTGTATGTCTATGTGTACTGGAAATTTAGCCCCCACTTATAAGTGAGAACATGATATTTGGTTTTCTGTTTTTGCATTAATTTATTTAGTATGATGGCCTCCAGATGTATCCATGTTGCTGCAAAGAACATGATTTTATTTTTTATGGCTGTATAGTATTCCATGGTGTGTATATAGCATGTTTCCTTTATCCAATCCACCATCGGTGGGCATCTAAGTTGATTCTATGCCTTTGTTCTTAATAGTGTTGTGATAAATATATGAGTGCATGTGTCTTTTTGGTAGAATTATTTATTTTCCTTTGAGTATGTACCCATTAATAGAATCGCTGGGTTGAATGGTAGTTTTCTTTTCTTTTCTTTGCGAAATCCCCAAACTGCTTTCCATAGTGGCTGAATTAATTTACATTCCCACCAACGGTGTATAAGTGTTCTCTTTCCTCTGCAGCCTCACCAATGTCTGGTTTATTTTTTTGACTTTTTAATTATACTCATTCTGACTGGTGTGCAGTGGTATCTCATTGTAGTTTTGATTTGCATTTCTCTGATGATACATGATGTTGAGCATTCTTTCATATATTCATTGGCTGCTTGTATGTCTTCTTTTGAGAGGTGTCTGTTCATGTCCTTTGCCCACTTTTTAATCAGGTTATTTGTTTTCTGATTGTTGAATTACATTCCTTATAGATTCTGGATATTAGTTTTTGTTGGATGCATTGTTTGCAAATATTTTCTCCCATTCTGTAGGTTGTCTGTTTACTCTCTTGATAGCTTCATTTACTGTGCAGAAACTCTTTCATTTAATTAGTACCACTTGCCAATTTTTGTTTTTGTTGCAATTGCTTTTGAGGAATTATGACTTACTCATAAATTATTTGCCAAAGATGATGTCCAGAAGGCTATTTCCTAGGTTTTCTTCTATAATTTTTATAGTTTGAGGTCTGAAATTTAAGTCTTTAATCCATCTTGTTGATTTTTGTATATGGTGATAGGTAAGTGTTCAGTTCCATTCTTCTGCATATGGTTAGCCAGTTTACCCAGCACTATTTTTTGAATAGGGAATCTTTTTCCATTGCTTATTCTTGTAGACTTTGTTAAAGATCAGTTGGTGGTTGTTCCATTGGTCTATGTGTCTATTTTTGTACCAGTACCGGGCTGTTTTGGTTACTGCAGCATTGTAGTATAGTTTGAAGTCAGGCACTGTGATGCCTCTGGATTTGTTCTTTTTTGCTTAGGATTGCTTTGACTATTCAGGCTCCTTTTTGGTACCAAATGAATTTTAGATTAGTTTTTTTTCTAATTCTGTGAAAAATCACATTGGTAGTTTATAGGAATAGCATTGAATGTGTAGATTGCTTTGGACAGTATGGCTATTTTAAAGCCATGAATGTAGGATGTTTTTCCATTTATTTGTGTCATCTGTGATTTCTTTCATCAGTGTTTCATAGTTCTCCTTGTAGAGATCTTTCACCTCATTGGTTAGATGTACTCCTAGGTATTTTATTTTTTGTGGCTATTGTAAATAGGATTACATTATTGATTTGGCTCTCAGCTTGAATGTTATTGGTGTATAGAAATGGTGCTGCTTTTTGTACATTGATTTTGTATCTTGAAACTTTGCTAAAGTAATTTACCAGTTCCAGGATCCTTTTGATGGCGTCTGTAGGGTTTTCTAAGCATAGAATCATATCATCAGCAAAGAGGGATAAATTGACTTTCTCTTCTTGTATTTGGATGCCTTTTATTTCTTTCTCTTGCCTTACTGCTCTGGTTAGGACTTTCAGTACTATATTGAATAGCAGTGGTGAGACCAGGCATCCTTGTCTTGTTTCAGTTCTTCGTGAAGATACTTCGAGCTTTTGTCCTTTAAGTAAGATGTTGGCTGTGGGTTTGTTATAGATGGCTCTTATTGTTTAGAGGTATGTTCCTTTCATGGCTACTTTGTTGAGGGTTTTTATTATGAAGTAATGTTGGATTTTATCAAAAGCTTTTTATGCATCTATTGAGAAGATCATATGGTTTCTTCGAAATTCTGTTTATATGGTGAATTATGTTTATTGATTTCATATGTTGAACCATCCTTGCATCCCAGGAATGAAGCCTACTTGACTGTGGTGAATTATCTTTTTGATGTGCTACTGGATTTGGATAGCTAGTATTTTATCAAGGATTTTTGTGTCTATGTTCATCAGGAATATTGGCCTGTCATTTTCTTTTTTCACTGTGTCGTTGTGTTCTTGCCTGATTTTGGTATGAGGATGATACTGGTTTTATAGAATGAGTTAGGGAGAAATTCCTCCTTCATTTTTTGGAATAGTTTCAGGAGTGTTCGTACCAGCTTTTCTTTGAACACCTGATTGAATTCTGCTGTGAATCCATCTAGTTCAGGGCTTCCTTTGATTAGTAGATTTTTTTTTATTAATGATTCAATCTTGGAACTCATAATTGGTCTGTTCAGGATTCCAATTTCTTCCTGCTTCAGTCTGGTTGTGTATTTCCAGGAATTTATCCATTTTATCTAGATTTTCTCATTTGTGTATGTAGAGGTATTCATATTGGTCTCTGAATATCTTTTGTATTTCCATGAGATTGATTGTAATGTCACCTTTGTCACTTCTGATTGTGCTTATTTGGATCTTCTCTTTTTTCTTTGTAAGTCTATCTATTGTGTTTATTCTTTCAAATAATCAACTTTTATTTATTATTTGTATGGTTTTTTGGGTCTCAATTTTGTTGAGTTCTGCTCTGATTTTAGTTATTTCTTTTCTTTTGCTAGCTTTGAGATAGTTAATTCTTGTTTTTCTAGTACCTTTAGATGCAATGTTACATTGTTGATTTGAGATCTATCTTCCTGATGTAGGCATTTAGCACTATAAACTTTCCTATTGACATTGCTTTTCCTTCCTCCCAGAGATTTTGGTATGTTGTGTCTCCATTTTTACTGATTTCAAAGAATATTCTGATTTCTACCTTAATTGCTTTTTTACCCAAAAGTCATTTGGGACAAGGTTGCTTAGTTTACATGTAATTTTGTGGTTTTGAAGGTGGTATTGATTTTTTATTCTACTGTGATCTGAGAATACGCTTCATAGGAGTTTGATTTTTTGAAATTTATTGACGCTTGCTTTATGGCCAAGCATGTGGTCATTCTTAAAGTATGTTATATATGCAGATGAGAAAAATGTATATTCTATGATTATTGGGTATTCTGTAGATATTTTTTAGGTGCAATTGGTCCAGTGTTAAATTTAAGTCCAGAATTTCTGTTAGTTTTCTACTTCAATGATCTGTCTAATGCTGTCAGTGGGGGTGTTGTAGTCCCCACTATTATTGTGTGACAGTCTAAGTCTTTTCCTAAGTTTAAAGTACTTGTTTTATGAATCTAGGTTCTCCAATGTTGGATGCACATATATATTTAGAATAGTTAAGTCTCCTTCTGATTCTCTGCTTGGTCGCTGTTGGTGAATAGAAGAGCTACTGATTTGTGTACATTAATCTTGATCCGAACACTTGGCTGAATTCTTTTATCAGTTCTAGGAGCTTTCTGAGAAGTCATTAGGGTTTTCAAGACAAACAGTTTGACTTCTTTATTAATTTGAATGCCTTTTATTTCTTTCTCTTGTCTGATTGCTCTGGCTAGGATTTCTAGTACTATGTTGAAGAGGAGTGGTGAAAGTGAGCATCCTTGTCTTGTTCCAGTTCTCAGAGGGAATGCTTTCAACTTCTTCCCATTCAGTATTATGTTGGTTGTGAATTTGTCATAAATAGCTTTTATTACATTAAGGTATGTCTCTTGTATGTGGATTTTGCTGAGAGTTTTAATCATAAAGGGATGCTGGATTTTGTCCAATGCTTTTTCTGCATCTATTTAATGATCATGTGATTTTTGTTTTAATTCTGATTATGTGGTGTATCACATTTATTGACTTGCATATGTTAAACCATCCCTGCATCCCTGGTATGAAACCCACTTGATCATGGTGGATTATCTTTTTGATACATTGTTGGATTTGGTTGGCTAGTATTTTGTTAAGGATTTTGGCATCTTATGTTCGTCAAGGATATTGGTCTGTAGTTTTTCTTTTTTGGTTATGTCCTTTCCTGGTTTTGGTGTTAGGGTGATATTGACTTCATAAAACGAATTAGGGAGGGTTCCTTCTTTCTCTATCTTGTGGAATAGTGTCAAAAAGATGCGTACCAATTCTTCTTTGAATATCTGGTAGAATTCTGCCAATCCATCTGGTCCTGGGCTTTTATTTGTTGCTAATTTTCTAATTACCATTTCAATCTCGCTTCTTGTTATTGGTCTGTTCAGGGTATCTAATTGTTCCTGATTTAAGCTAGGAGGGTTGTATTTTTCCAGGAATTTATTCATCCCTTCTAGGTTTTCTAGTTTATGTGCATAAAGATCTTCATAGTAGCCTTGAATGATCTTTTGTATTTCAGTGCTGTCCGTTGTAATATCTCCTGTTTTGTTTCTTAGTGAGGTTATTTGGACATTCTCTCCTCTTTTCTTGGTTAAGCTTGCCAGTTGTCTATCGATTATATTTATATTTTCAAAGAACCAGCTTTTTGTTTCATTTATCTTTTGTATTTTTGTTTGTTTGTTTCTATATCATTTACTTATGCTCCAATCTTGGTTATTTCATTTCTTCTGCTGGATTTAGGTTTGGTTTGTTCTTGTTTCTCTGGTTCCTTGAGATGTGACCTTAGAGCATCAGTTTGTGCTCTTTCAGTATTTTCAACATAGGTGTTTAGGGCTA